AAATCATGGGGAGACAGGATTATTCCTGTACAGCACATAGATATGTTTAGTGCTGGCATTTCTCATATCCAGACTTCCTGTCACGCCGTAAACATTCTTTTTATTAAAAACAAACAAATCCAAAAGTGCTATGAAAACATTTTGAAATTGAAGCCATACCAGTTTTCCACTGCAAGGCAAGTTTTCTGATCTATGCAGTTTAGACAAGGAGCGGAGCAAGAGATGACTCAGTCATCATCTGTAAATGACTCCATGGGGGATAAGAAAAAAAAAATTTCCATATTAGGTCTTTAAGCTAGCTAAAAACAGAAAACATGAGGTTGAAGACAAATCCAGACTAAACGTAACACCTTCCCTTTATAATGATGTTTATTGACTATTAGAAAGGATTAAAATACAGAGATCTTAGTTATTCAAGAGGTTTCTTAATTTGTTTGTAAGAGATCCCACCATAGCTCTGACAGAATTAATAGGCTTATTCCTGATGTAACCGGGCAGTTTTTTAACCTGTTTTGCAGATCCAGTTACACAATTATATATGGTTTCCTCAGCCTCAAAACACATGATCTTATGATAAACTATGTCTATTCAATATCTCATTTGTATCAGTGTTACTTTGGCTTTAATGCAGTAACAAACCATCTTGCGTGCATAAATTAATATGCTCCTACTTTAAAATTTCATATAAGCAACATGACTTCGATGCTTTATGAACAGTGAAAGACTCAAATATTTTGAATCACTTACCTGAAGAAAAGTCTGTGTTCAAATGTTTTTATGGCAACTGCTGGTAATTACAATTTTTTGCAGATGCAATCCCCCAAAAAAGTAGAATAAAATAATAATACAAATTCAGAGCAAGGTTTTTAGACAAAGGCTGAGAAAGGAGGGGTAGAATAAAACTGGTGAATGAGATCCAGTAAGCTTAGCTCTAATCTCACTCAGGGTCACCTCTTTTTTTAACCGGCATTGCTCTCTTGGTCTAATTATGCTGCTACAGTTATACTACTGCAATGTTTCCAAAGCAACATATCAGGAGTAATTGCATTGAAATCAATGACATAAGGACTAGAAGAATCAATTCACCATTCCCAGTTCTCTCTGAACACTGAATTGCAGATTTTTTTTTCTAGAAAAAACAATGGAAATAAATAAAAGATAGGCATAAATCCAGTAGTAATATGCCAAAATGACTATAATACAATTATCTGCTTATGTTTAAAGCAATCTATTTTGAAAAGAGAAAGGAAGTCTGGAGCAATTCATTCTCTTTGTTGACTTACTCCAAATGTTCAGAAATTACCAGCTGTTTACATTTGCTAGTATATAGTTACACAGAGTATGCCAAGCATCAGCAGGGGTTTGGTGCCCTCTTATGTTTTACACAAGCAACTTCAGTGATTGCAAACACACTTCTTGGTGACAGATCACTTGTGAGGGCTTCTCAGGTTAGAAATTGTTAAGAAAGTGTTAAGTAAAATAACTAACTACTGAATGCTTCAAAAAGGTTAATAACCACTTTAAGGTGATGAACTTACTCACAGCAATGAGCAGACCCACAGACATACCTGCACACCTTCCCCTTCGGCTTTTATTGAGACAGTTCACCCTCACTAAACTGATCTTGCATGGCACAAACCTCATTCAGGCTTCTTTTGTTTTGGCCAGATAGATATTGTTAATAAATTGCTGACTACCGCAACATCACCAAAAAAAAAAAAAAAAAAAAAAGGCCTGGTTGGCATCACAGGAAAAAAATCAAGGTGAACTGTATTAATAGATCTTAGAATCAGAACAGAGAGGACTACAAGACCTGGTCTTACCTCCTGGGAATGTTACCCAGTTAACAATCTAGGTACTTACCCAAAGAAAAGAATCCATTTTAAAAAAAAAAAGTCTGCAAAGTTGGAGACATCAAAACATGGAATATTCCTATTTCCTTTACTTGGATACTCCACTGATTACTTCTCACACTTAAAAGCTGGCACTTATTAACTAAAATTAGATTTTTGGGGGGTTCTAGCAATCACCTTAGGTTTTCTTTCTTGTCTAGTTAACACTAGTATTTTATTTCTCTTCCTGTGCAAGTATTTCTAACTCATAGAGAATTCCCTTCTTGATCTTCTAAAAACTAAACAGATTGCTTGGTAAATCTTTTCTGGAAATAAAACCTGATTCTATATTAAGAAGCGTTTTGATAGTCTGTTTTTAATTTCCCTATTAGTGTCAAAAGGGAATACAGTTTAAATATTTTTTTTATACTTGGCACTTAGGTAACCCTTTTTATTAATTACTCAGAGGAAAACATCTGGGAGAGATTTATGTGCCTTTTTTGATACATAAATTAGAATGCAAAAGAGATGGGCCACAGAAATAGTAATGTATAAAGATAACATGGAATTTTAGATTACATTTGAATGTTGGTATCTGAAATTGTTAAATTCCTTATTAAAGTGCTGGGGACTCCATATTTAGAAAAGTAATCCATTGCAATGGAATGTACTGATATTAGTACAGAAATAAAACACCCAAGCCTTTCATAATGGGAAATTCTCAATTTATTTTATCAAATTATCCTACTATGCAATTTTTCAGAGATCAGTTTCAAGATGATACATAAGAAAATCTCCAGAGAATTAGCAAGTTAGTGCACAAATCAAACATTTTCTCAGTCTGGTCATAGATGCAGAGGTAAAAAGGCGCCTAAGCATCTCATACTAGTTAATAATGAGCATCCCTTCTTATCACAGACACCCAAATGCCTAGAGGCAAGGCACATTTTGGTACCATGGCCTGTTTCCTTAAAGCCAGACAAAACTGGATGAATGCTCCCCACTTCTAGGGGCTGCAAAAGCCCATGTAAAAAGAGAGCCGATCCATGCAGCAAATAGAAACTTGTAGAAATAACTTCTTCGTCAACATCCAAAAGTGCACTACTCCTTCACCGAACACAGAAGCATGTTCCCAGAAAGCTTCGAGTTCTGTTTCAAATGGATGTGACAAAGGAAAAATAAATAAGGAAAGGATGTGGTGAGGAACGATGGATGTGCTTGGACCCCTTACACCACTAAGATATGCTCAAATATAGTTAATGCTATTACAGTAATATTTTTAAAAATAAATCCACCTTGTGTAGGTGAGAAGTAGCTAAATTGCACACAGAGCAGAGATCCCTGAGCTAGTGGCGAGCTAGTTAGAAAATCCACACGCAATGTGGACCTATCCATCCAGGTCTAGAGGAAGCACTGCTACTTTTTCAGCTAATAAATATTGCTTACTAGCTCCCGTTCAAGACCATATGAATGATGGACCATATTTGTTAGTGTATAACCCTGAAGTTCTGATTCTGAGGCTTGCATGAGGGCAGCCAGGTTAAGATCTGGTTTTGTTATTGTGGATGTAGCCAACAATAAAGCGTTCACATTTAGTGCATGAATCTCAAATAGTACTGAAATCAGGCCATCGGGCTCCACAGCCGAGTTACTTTCCACAGAAAATATCAATCTGACTTTTCTGGACAGATTTTCGATCTGCTGACCCACAAATTTGTGATCGTAGGTTGAAACCTGCCAAATTAAGAAGCATTTGCCTTTGATAATATTCACCAAAGTGGGTATTTCCCATCAGAATAATTCTATTTCCCATATTCCCTTTCTAAGGAAGTAGAAAAAAAAATTGTCTCTCTTAGCTTGTAATTAGCATTAAAATAGTCCACACAGTAGAGTAAGGGTGTAGAAACAGTAAAAATCCTCCCAAGTGTTTTGAAGAGCTAGTAGATAAATATGGAATGTGGGTTCACAGCTTTACAGAGGTAATCAGTTACTCACTGTCTCATTTCTGCCATGCCATTTTCCCCATCTCATTTTCCTTTACCCAGTTCCCTCTATGCTGTAAAGTGAACTAACTTAAAATCTTGTAGCAACATAGAAAGAAAACAGAACCACTCTGCTCTGTAAATGGAAAGAGACAGCATTTTTTAGGACAGAGCTTGGACATATCTGCTAAGATACAGCTTAAGAAACTTAACTCTAGACATTAATGGAGTTGATGAAGTCTAAGTTCTGAATATAAACTAGTTAAAAATCCCCAAATCAAAACAGATGCACTGCTGTTAACTGATAGGGCTTCAATGAAATTGGGCGAAAATCATGTGTCTCTCACACCCTAATGCTGATTAAGGCTTTCCAAGCAAATTGCAATTTGTTTATCTTGAGGATCTTAAATGAGTTGAACTTCAATATGTTCCACTATGAAATCTTACAGAACAGAAAACTCATGCTGATATAAATCAAATCAGGTTAAGAATTGATTTAGTTAAGAATCAGGCTGCTGTGAACATACTTTTAATTTAGTTCGAAGTGCCTGATATCAATTTAAGTTAAGCTTATTACAGACTTTACCACTTTAGCTAGAGTTGAAAATTTAATTTCAATGCTTATCTCATTAAGCACCTAATTCAGATGCCAGTATCAGCACTGACACCAGTATCCAGCAGCATCTTATTCAACGTCATAATGCATCCCTGTATTCACTGTTGGGCAGTATCGGCACAATGATTCAAAAAAACAAGTGGAGAAACATTAAAAAGGTGCTTGCCTCCCAGGAAATAATTTATACACTTCATTCAGACAGTTCTGACCTTCCTTTAACAACACACACAGGCTATGTAGAGGAGCCCCAAGATGACCCTATATATTTAAGAATAGCAGCTGTGTTTGTAAAGTTTTATATAACAAAATTAAGATGCTTATCAAAGTCATTTTACAATTGCCAGCCACAAAAGGAAAAGCCACCATAGCATTACTAAAATGAGTAACAGCTTAAGACCAAGTACTTCTCCGGGACTGCAGAACAGCTAGGACAGATTCTTAGCTGTAGAGTTCTGGGAGCACAATGTTCTGTGCTTGTCTAAGGAAACACAAGCTACAGAAAACTCAAGGAAATGTGGGCATAGGTCTCGTATGTCACACAGCTTGTGCCATGGCAGTTGTGGGAAACCATCAGCTTAAGGGTATGTATTTTTGTACTTGCTGGGCTCCAATCTCTGCAACATAGACTGCTCCAGTCTTCATGTCTACATCCACAAGGTGTGGTTTGGTTTCATCTGCCAGCTGGACTGTGTTGACCATAACACAGTCCCCAATAGAACCAACCGGTGGTGCTGCCAAGATTGCTAGCCGGTTGATATTCATCTGAGCTACAATCAGGTATTTGTAATTGGCAGTAAATCTGTGAAAGACAGAAATATATTTTTGAATTATGAACTCCATATGACATCTCATTTTAAAGAAACAAAATCTCCTTCATAGTCAATTTTTTGAAGACTACAACAGACTAAATGCAGTGAAACACTGAGAAGTAACTTGTAAGCCTTTTTCTACATGTTGCTGCTCCCTAAGACAGATTATGCTACAGAAAACTCATTCAAGACAATCTCTCTTCCCGTAAAAGCTGCACCAGTAAGGTCAACAACACACAACTTTAAAATGAAGTTCTCAATCCTGCACTCAAACACATGGGGCTTGTTATAAAGCCAGGATTTCCCTGTCAAGAAACAACTGCGCAGACCTTTGCATACGATTAGGGCCCAGAACCCTACTAGTTAAACTGGTTAACTAGTTAAAGGCATTAAATATCAACATTTTAATTCACCAGTAAGAGTACACCTTATTTACGTAATTGCATGCTTCTAGAAGAACTGATCAACAATACCTGACAGAATAGGGTCCATCTTCTGAAAAACAGGTGCTCCAAGACCCAAGCCATTCCCCTGTGACTTTATCAAAAACTTGGATTCTTTTGTTGTCTCTGTCTGCAACCCACACCTGTCAAGAACAAAAATCATGGCTGTTCACAAATAGAACAAATCAAATGCATTAGTTTTTTACAAAAGCAACGTATCCTGTAGTAAAAAAGAATTACACCTCGGAAGAATGTACCTCCCTATTCAAAACTACATAAGTAGATATGACTTCCAGGTATAAAACAAAACCGCCACATAGTTAACATACACAATTTATTTTATACTACTTTAACAGAGAAATCAGTGCCTTGTCTTCATTTTTGTGGCTATGATATGAATATATTCAGTAGGATTCCCACCTCCCCCCAGTGAGGACATATTCCCACCTATTTAATTCTAAAGATACCTGTCTGTCACTTGATAACAATTTGTTTTTCAACAGTAGTCTCATTTCATGATCCAGGCCTATGATGACTGCATCTGCAAACACTCTTGATATGCCTAATACTACTCTAAATATTAAGCAACTTAAACACTAAGAGCATTTTCAGCATGTTTTGTCGAGCTTATCTCTGTCCCACCCTGTGCTAACTGGGTTCACAAACAATGCGAGCTAGCAATATCACTAGGCAGGTCCAGTGAAGGCACCTCTTGTACTACAATTATTGAAGTTTTAGCTGTTGACAACCCATCAGTCTGATAAGTAAACTTCATGACTTTTCTGGGATATCACCCAAAAGGGAGCAATAAACAAGCTGACCTGAGATCTTTCATCACTATTTTTCAAATGAAACACTACTATAGCATTCTTTTACCTTTCTTAGGAATTAACAATTATTTTTAACTGAGGCTGATGATCAACACTACATTGGCAATAAAATCGTAGCCCATTGCAATCGCTATCTTTGAATGTATATACTCACGGCTACCCTTCAACACAAAGTGACCATGTCCCTCCCCTGCTCCTTCCTACCCTGCCAGTTTTGGCAGAGAAGTGATTTTTATATACACTTCTTATTCTGGTTCAGACAGCATCAGCAGAATTAGCTCAAACCAGTGAGTTAAGATGTTTTAGTCAAGCAATCTTATTCTCCCTGAAACAGATTAAGAAGCAACCGCATAATTCCTCCACAAGAGCAGAAGAGGAAAAGCCAAACTGCGATTAACATCTGGCAGAAGTAGACTCTTGAATGCCTTGAGCTGCATGTAGAAAAGGACTGATGTCCACAATCTAGCTAGAGCTTTACTAACATCTTAAGCTTATTTGGAATTTCCAAATATGAAATTAAAACCCCCTGAAGAAATGTAAGGGCTTGGGCAGACATTTATTACAGAACGTAATTCTCCTGTACTCTCACAATGACAGCCTGTTAGAAACTGCAGGAGGAACAGGCTGTTGTTGCTGGACATTGGCAGTGTAACCAGTCAGAACCCTTGTGTTAACCTTGGAGCCAGCTACTTAGGATCTGCAGTATGAAACTTCAGCTCATGACCACTACCACACTGAAAACTATAACTCCCATAAAATGACCCAGATCATAACAGTTTGATTAAAAAAGAAATACAATCTGTTTTGTCCAAATATATGTAAACAAGTCTGTTGGAAGATGAAAAAATTTTCTCCCTTTATTCTTTACCCGTCCAAAAGGATCCACTGTTACACTGTGAGGAATCTTGAATTGACCAATGCCGGTCCCATTTGTTCCAGTCAGCCATATCTCTTTGTAATCTAAACCATTAGCACCATGAAAAATAAAAGTAAAAAAGTCACAGTAAGAAAACAACAAGTAAAACAACTTTAAGTCATTCCCCTGCAAAGTTACTTTGAGTTATTTTTTAAAGGTGAAATTTCTAAACTCAGACTTTTTAAACACAGTACTCCCAATATATAAACCCAAGAAATACTGGAACTACTACAGTGACTACTGGATTGTTATTAGTGGTTTCAGAATTCTGACTACAGAAACGTAGCCACTAGTACACAAGAGCCATAATCCAAGGCTCTGTTAAGCACCGTATTACAAAAAAAAAAGTTACCTGATTATGATATTAATTTGTTTACTAAAATGATTTTTTTATATTTGTTACCTGGTAATTTTGCGTTTTAACAATTTACCATTTTGCAAAGTAGGTATTAGGAAACTGACTGTTTTTATGATAGTACAAAGGAAAATGGCAGCTCTTTCACTTTTTCCCAACTGTAGGCATATGCAGACTCCTCACTCGCTGCCCTAACCAACACTGATCATCTCACTGGGGAATATGAGCAAGCTAATTAGAACCACGGAATAATTTAAGTATAAAAGATCTCCAGACAGCATCTGGTCCAACCTGATTCTCAAAGCAGGACTAGCCTTGATAACAAATTCAACTCTGAAGTTAGATCAGGTTGCTCATCATTCATCATGTTTTGAGCATCTCCAAGAGCAGTGACTGCACACCATCTCTGGGCAAACCATTCACCAATCACCCCCACTGTGAATCTTTCCCTCCAAAAATTGAACTGGAATTCACCCCTCCTGCATCTTTTCCTCAGTGTTGCTCATTCTTCACTGTGCATCTCCAAGTAATGTGTGGCTGTCTTCTTCTAAACCCTCCCATTACTGACTTGAAAACAGCAATAAGCCTTCTCTCTCAAAGGCTGAACAAACCCATTCTCAGCCTCTTGTCATAAATGATTAGGAGCTTTCTCCTGAAGTGAAAAGCAGTAAAACAGAATCTGATTCAACAAAGTCTTCAAACTAATGTTAAATAACAGCTCTGCCTAGTCCTTGCTTAAAAGTATTCTCAAGCTGTGTTATTTAAACTTCAATTTTCAATGGTCAGCTACTGTGGAATTTAACTTTTCCATACCGTTGGATAGTTTGAGTAATCTGTTATTCATTCCTCCATCTCCATCCACAACATAGACATCTCCACTTTCCTCTACAAAGACCTCTGCTGGTTGATCAAATTGCAGGGGAATCAAACTTGAACCAGCATTACCTGGCGTGCCCAAGATCTGCATAAGTTTACCCGAAGGGCTATATTGTTTCACAGTGTGCCCATATTTCCCTGAATTAAGAAAACAAAGTGCAAAAAACATCTTAACAAAACAAAATGGAAGTATTAAAACCAATTACAAAGATTAGGAAAGAAAATCTCCTGATACTCACAAGTGATATTAATAAATCAAAAAGACAAAATTCTATAGCGACAATATAACTGTGGGTTAGTAAATCCATAGGTTACAACAATATTCATCCATTGTATTAAGGTCCCCAAACCTAGGACAGACAATAAGACAGTAAGTCTAGCCAGAAGATTTTTTTTTTTCCCCTGATACTTCTCCTGGAGGGTGGGGTGGGGTGAGCAGTTACTAAGTTCAAAAGCAATAAGCAGACACACAGCACAACTCATGAACCTTCAAAGTATTTTGTGCAGCATCTGAAAAGTTTGTTCACAGCAAGAAAAGCACAACTGTGTCTCAGAATTGTTGAGAGACTAAAATAATTGAGTTGTTTAAAGTAATATCTGCAGTATTAGCATTTTCTTCCCCACCTAATACTTCTCAGATCACCACCATGCATACCTGTTCCAACATCTGTGATCCATACTGAACTATCTATTGCGGTGTTCAATACAAAGATACCATGAGGCATTTCAACTGTATCATTCCAGGAGTAAAGAAAATAGCCTTCCTCTGAGAACACAAGTACCTTTGGCACATTGTCTCCTCTCTGAAAAGGCAAAAAAAGGTCTATTAAGAAAACACATTAAGCAAGTAATCATATTTTTATAATCTCCTCTTTGTAAGGTTTTTGTAATGTTTCATGACTCATAAGAATCTCCTGAGATTGTCTGCTAGATCTCATTTTTTCCAGCTAGAAAAGGAAAGAGAGAGAAGGGTCTAAGCTTAGCATGCAAAACCTTCCACTCATTCTAGAGTTTCAACCTAAATCACATAAAGTCCAATTTTCAGAGAAGCCAAGCTCCTGCAGCTATCGTGGTCTCCATTTTGAATTGTGTTTTTATGTTCTTGATGAAAAATACACCAAGCGTAACACAGGCATGAAAAACAGTAACTGTACTTATTAGCTGCATGGTACTCATGTACTCATACCATGTTTTATAATTAAATCCCATCACTTTCCATGGAGAGAATGTCTTATCCGTGACTTAGAGATACCAATGCATGGAATTGGGTAAAGCAAATAACTGAACTCCAATTACTGTAACTAGCTGAAAGAGCTGCATGGTTTTGATTTCATGGGACAAAGGCTGAAAGAGTGGAAGATTCAGTTACCCCAGAATCACATTTTACCTTACAGTTAAGAGAAGAAGCTACTGTAACTCAGTTAAGTTGGATCATGCATTCATACCACAGAAGTGTAATGCTTGTAAAAGCACAAATAAGTGTGGTGCCAGAACTGTTTTAAAAATGAATATAGCAGAGATATCTACACTTATATCTTCACTAATTTTCATACAATAATTATTCACATACATATACAGACACACACACATATATCCTAATCTAAACCAGACACTTTAAAGGCAAAAATACACTAGAACAAGAAGGAGAAAAATACAGTATTCTCACTCACTTGTCCCACGTAGACCAAACCATGAAGAGAGTCAACAGCAACACAAAATGTTTGGCCAGTGAAGTATTCTGGAATTTTAGGCCAGCCTATGTCCAGCTTGTACATCTGTTGCTGTCCTTTCCAAGGAGAGAAGTAATCATATGCTTTTAAAACCTGAAAATACAAAATAAATATCCAGTAGTAGTTAAATTCTATGACAATGGGATCACAAAAATGAGCACTAGAAAGTAACCGTGTACTGAAGAATCATAAATTGATTTATTCAATTTAAATTAAGAAGATAGATAAACAGGATTATAGCTAGGGCTTTGGACTGCAGACGGGAAAATGTTGACAAACTGGAAATTCGCTAATGAAGTCCTTTGGATTGAGGAGCTCTGGAATTAGAAGGCAAAAAACACACCCTGAAATTTCCTACATCGAAGTTGCTATTACTATCTGTAAATCACACTCCAAAAGGAGGAAAATAGTAGAGAAGGTTCCAAATGCAACAGAATCAATAACCGCTTCAGGAATGTGAGAAACATTCACCTATGTAGTTTTTAAGAGAGGACAAAGTCTGTGAAGCAAAGGTTTATTTCAGCGCTGGGTGCACGGGAGATCACCCCCGTGATCCTCCTGCTTGCACACTGGTTAGTCCAACTTCCACAAATTTATTTAGGACAGTCATTCATATTCATGTCATTTCCTGGAAGTCTTATACATATTTAAGTGATTTCCCCGAAGTTATTTACATCTATTCCCTCCCCACTTGCATCTGCGCACTGTTGTCTAGGGGTCTTCCTTGGGGGTCGTGGTGTGAAGTCTCAAAAGTCTTCCTCTCAGTTGAACTTCTTATTCCGGTGCTTGTGCTCCATTGTTTCAGCAACATTGCAAACTCAAGTGGGCAGTTAATCCTCTCTTCCAGATAAGGATGGGAATGTGCCATCCAGGAAGAGGCTAATCGTGGCTAAGATAAGGGGTGTCTCTGTCCCCATACTTATCTTAACCCTATATCTGAATGCATAATGCCCTGTCTCCATCCCCATTCTTGGGTACCTGGAGACTTACATTCTTTCCAACTGCCTATGACTTAAGCAAAACTACAATATTATTTATCACAAAGAAGATAAGAAAATAAGAAAAAGAAAAATCAGAATAAAGGCAAAATACAGGTCAAGAAAGAAAACTATATCTTGGAAAAGGGGAAGATACCAGGAACGGCAAAACTCGGGTCAATATATATATATTAAAGGATAATGGAAAAAAATAATTTTCCACCTTTTCGTTCTATTTTTCCAGCAGAAGAATGGAAGCTAAGCCCAGCTGCGCTGCTGCAAGCTAAGCACTGAAACAGAAAGATGGGGCTGGAACTAAGAAGCAACAAGTGGTGACCCTGAAGGATCGGGGCCATTTAACACTGTTGATAACTGCCCTGCCAGAAGTAGGGGTGAGTTGATGAGACAGAAGTATGAATAGCTTAAGAAAGCCTGGACTATCGTGAAGGAAAACCGAGAGTAATTAAGCAGGAGAAAATCCGACAGTAAAAAGTGTAACGTTATTCACTCAGAGATTATTAAGTTTTTTCCTCATTTGAGCAGAGCAGATTTCTTGGAAATCCCTGAAAAAGAACCACCCAGCAGACACATTTGTGTCAGATACGCCACATGAC